ACACACACACACACACACACACACACACACACACACACACACACACACACACACATTAAAATACGCTAAGTGTCCACAGTTTGCCTTAATGTTTGTGTAAAGAACTTGTCACAAGTCGGCAGCAGTTTTAGTTTAGAACACAACTCGGTCCTTCCTCGTTTCTACACACCTAAAGTCGGCTTTGTGGCCCATTAGTAGAACCTCATGACAGCCAGGCAGTAAACGCTCTCACATGATGTTCGTTGACAAAAACCAGTTGTCATGACTATGAGTGGTCATCTGACCCTCATGTCCTGCCACTTAAACAACCGTGACATTTTTTAATCCTTGACAGATTATACAGTCCACTCACATGAACACACAAGCATGCATGACAGGCATGAAAACAACATGTATTTAATCTGATCTGTTTGATAAAGTCTTATTTAATAAAGTACAAGCACATCCTGACAGCTGTGAGAGCTAAAGATTTCATTCTCACAACACACGCAGACTAAATCATGTTTTATAAAGACGGGACAATAAATGAGACAAACTGCAGGTTTGCTTTCATCCAATCCAACTTTCCTACTTATTTGACAGAAACAAAATCTCTCTCATTCAATGTTAAGAAACAAAAACTACTCTTTCAAGCAGAGGCAGCTTACCCAGTAAGAACAAGGTCCGTACAGCAGTTCAGACTAAACTCCACGAGAGGATCCTGACAGTTTCACTTTGATGTGAGACACTTCTGTCTCCTCCTCAGAGCTCTGCGTTTACAACAACTCTACAGATCCACTCTGAACACCCAAAGCTGTAAAGATTTTACACTAAAAGGAGGAAATGATCCTTAAATTAAAACGAGAGCATCGCACCACCCAGCAGCAATGTTTTTCCTCTCTGACAGGACAGCTCGGTCAAGTCCAACATCTTATCTCCAGCTAAAGTCTTCCTTCCTTCCTCTCTTCCAGTACAGTCTGTTTAAACTCCAACATGTCACGACTGTCTTCATGAAACAAAGATTAGAAATGTTTCCCTTCAGCTAAAAGTGTCAATCTGTTCTTGGTTGAACTGTTGGTGCAGCTAAAGTGTTAAACACAGTTATATTTATACCAGTGGAGGATGCTGGTCTTTCAAGGAGAGGAAGCTCAGTTTCGGCCTACATCATAAAATGCGTGGGTTATAAATTCTACTCYCCGTTCCTTTTCAAGAAAACGATCTGTGACCCTGTCACAGATCGTTTTTTAGTTTATAGTATTTATTCATTTCATTTTAAAAAACAAAACATTACATACAACAAAACAATACAAATAAAATAAAATGAAAGGCAGCAGAAGAAAAAGATCTTATCTGCTCCTATTTACAAAAAAATATTAATTTCAAACAATAAACCAAATAAAACAAAACAAAAAAATTCAACTCTTCAAACAGTGCCTCATACAAATACAAATTAAACAATTTCATATTTCTTTGACAATTTTGCTTTGATGATTTTTTAAAGGAATTAATTGATCCAATGCTTTTATAATCATTTTCCAGATTATTCTATAGTTTTTTACAGCAGCCAGCTCACTTTGTTATACCAGGACAGCTGAAAAGACCTGTTATTTCCCCACTGTGGGATCAATGAAAATGTTTTTTTAATCTTACGTTTCCCCACCTTTTGCACCAAATTAATCTGAGGAGTTGATCAGCCCTGCTGTAAGATTTTCTTTGTAAACAAGACTGTATCAAATGGCTTCTCCAAAATCCGGTCCACAACATTCAAACTGTCTGCCGTTATGTGTAGCTTGTTACCTAGCTAACTCATTAGCTGGGACTGGCACGAGGCTAGAGTGAAGTGTGTCCACCTTTGAGTGCTTTGTGACGGCAGAGGGKYTCAGCAGCACCCGCTGGACAGAAACTGTGATAGACGTCAGAAAGAGTGATAGAAGTCTGTCTCCAAACACAAGCAGATACAATAAAACCCACCAGAAATAAAAACTTGATTTGTTGCTAGTCGTTTTTAACAAAGAAAATGCCGCTAAGAGGATTAAGAAAATCTCCAGTTCAGCTCAGAACAGAAACAAAACTAAAAACTGCTCCCACTGAATGTTTACACCAAAATATCTCTGATTCGCTCATTTCGCTGTCAATCAAAAAGGGATTCAGGCTCAGACAGATCATCCAATCATCATGCAGAATCTGGGCGTCCGAACCCGCCCACTGCTCCATAGACCCCCAGAGACGCTCAGTGTCCGGGGGCGGGACAAAGCCCAGCATTTATCCAATGACTCGTCTCGTTTCTCTGCATTTTTTTGCCTCACTATGGAAGTCTGTGGACGCTCAGCGTCCACAGTTTAAAGCACTGTGAAGCTGCGGGGATGAGGGAGAGGAAAGCTGCATCGTTACCAGTGATAAGAAGCTGATTCTGAACAAAAGTTGAGCGCGTTATAGCGCATATTTAGTCAATGACATGAACACACAACAGTGTATATTTGATCACTTATTCTTGTACATTTTAGGGGAAGCTGAGCTTCTCTTGCAGTCTTAGAGCAATCGCCTCTGATTTACACACAAGACCAAGCTTAATGCAAAAGTTGACCTGATGAAAAGGGAGGAGGGATTTGATCTGTATTTATTTTTAAAATATCTGCTCCACCTCTCGTTTCTTGTTGAAGATAAAAAACATGGCAGATGAAAGCAGATGTGCCTGGCATCATTTTTTTAGCGATGAAAGAAAAAGCCTGATAAAAATAGCTCCACAGCTGAGCTTTGTTCAATAAAATGAACGTTGCTCACCACATTTCTAATATTAGACTTGTTATTTTAACTATAAGCTAATATAGCTGCTGAAACTAAATAAAAATGCTTCTAATTTTTATTTATTTTAATCTGAGAACAGAATCTGTCTAACCAATGAAACACTCTGAACATGGATCTCGTGTTGAGCTGCGGGCGGGTTTCATACCTGGTACCGGTCGATGGGGTCTTCTTGTTGCAGCTGACTCTCTCTCAGGGTCTGATATTCCTTCTCAAACTTCTTCAGCTTCTTGGTTGGAACCTGAAAACCACAAAACTTATTTGTTACGGCCATCATCTGTGTTTCTCTATCTGCACCAGCTGATCGTCTTCTTCTCACAATTAATTTCTTTATAAGAGAAGTCAAAGGTCAGCTAAAGGGTTTTAAAATTACCAACATTAAAAATAACTTAAGGGATTGTTCTGTGCTGTAAAACATACAAGCTTTTATTCTTTCCGTACACCACATGAACGCTTTATGTTCTCTTTAGAAGAATTTAATCTAAAACAGTGAGTCATCATTATTCCCAGAGTTTTTTCTCGTTCATCTGAAACGTTAAAATCAGACTAAAAACCAAAACAGCTCTGCTGAACGACTCATTTCCTCCGGAGATAAAAGATGAAATGACGTGTAGACAGAGCTTTGTTGTGGTCACGCCGAAGAGAGGAGATTCGTTTTTCTTTCTTTTTTATAAAATACAGAGACAATTTGTTCCACTAGAAACTCAATTTTCATTCAACAAACTGARAAAAAAGACAAAGCACTAATTTTTAGTGTAATATTTATGAATAAAACAAGTTTAATTTGCTGCTTTTAAAAAAGTCCAAATGATGTCATGAATATAATTCTCCTATTTGCTGCTATTTTGTGTGTTTTTAATCAGTTTTTCTGATTGTARTTAATTATTTGGGTTGTTTTCATTRCAGATATATAAAAGCTTTAACTTGTTGACAAACCAAACAGATAAAACAGACAAACTGTGCTGACTGAGGTTAATAAAACAGTAAAAYTCATCAAATTGAACTCATTTGTTACTTAAAGACTTAAAACGTTCAAAGATTTAAGTTCTTTATGAAACTGAATGTGTGTCTGCTTCAGGTGGGAGGGTGAGGTTACCTSCCCTGGAGCGGTAAAGGCTTTGCCATAGCGACGACTATCTGGGTTTGGAGTCCAGGTGAGCAGGAATCAGGTGACCTCCTCCTCTGAGACATGATGTCTTTGTTTATTTCAGTCTGGCTCAAGCTCAATTTAGATTTGAAATAAATGTGTTTCCTGTCGAAGTGCAGTTAGTTAATCATTATTTCTGTTTTTACTCTTAGTTTGATTCTTTTTTAAATTCAAAATAAATGAGTCATACTGATTATTTTTTTTACTTTATATGATTGTTTTTATTTATATTTACCACCAACTCAAGAGGACTTTCTAAGTAAAATAATGAATGAATAAAACAAAAGAGAAAGACACTGGAAGGGTAAAACATGAGCAAATAACTTATTTAAAGAACCAAATAATTCAATATAAAGTTCACCTATTTTTGTTTAAACGTCATCTGAGCCAAAAACAGCTTCATGTTTGCTGATTTACAAACCAAGTATAAATTCGATCGATATAAAAAGAGCAAATAAAGCAGCCTTGTAAAAGAGATTTAGAGCCGAACATCATGATTCCCTTCACAAGGTAAACAACCTGCCAGAACAGCCGTTACCAGTCCCTCCGTGAGGCCTTTACCCACCCGAGGTAAGACCACCTGAGCAGGTAAACGTCACCATTAATGTATGTGGGAAACAAATCCTCAGCAGATAACTGAACTCAGACTCTTTCTGCTTTTACCTTGTAAAACAGATAAAGAGAAGCCAGCTCCCTGAGTTAATGAACACTTTCCTGGAACGTTCTGATGGAGATAAATTGAACAGTGTTTACCTAAAGGCAACAACACTGCTGAGAATTAGACCACCTAACACACCTCCAGTTTTACTGCTTAATGAGTGACCAACCAGCCGTTTSATATTTCATACACTTGAGTTTGCAACCCAAAAAGCTGGTATTGAGCAACATGTTAGTTCTTTTCTTTTTATCCATGTTTCATTAGAACACCACGACTCACAACAAGGATTAGGGTGTATTTCACAAAACAAACCTGATCAAGTGCTTTCTTTATCAGCGCTCGCTTTGTGAAACACAAGAWGACAAAATACAGTTTATTTAAAAAAGAACCAACTCTTGTCCCACGAGCTGAAACTTCATCTTCTAGAAAACACTGGTTTCATCTTTTGTTGACACTTATTCACTGTATTTCCCAACAAACCTACACRCTGATCATGTCAGATTTTCCAACCTTTGTTGCGCTGATGTGAAAATCTGACTCCTACACAGAATAACAAACCAGTAAAAGGCGTTTTATCATTTTCCTGTTAATGTTTAATTGAAACTGTTCCCGGTATAAATTACATGAAACTCCACTTTTAGGAGGTTGTTTTTCTGGTTTATCTACTTGATAATTCATCAGGTTAAAGCTGATTTGATATTTGTTAAAATGATAATGATTAACTGAATTTAGGTTTGTTATGTTTGATGGACAAGTTGTGAAGTAGCTGCTGATGAAAGTCCTGCTGAGCTCCAGCACCCATAAAACACACAAACACTGCAGAGTGACTGAGYGATGATTTTAAACTGTTATTCAAACAGTCCCCCAGATGTTAAACACAGACGTGCTCTTCTGCTTTTTAACTTTTGTATTCTTCTTTAGTTCATGTTAAGAAAGGAAATGCAGTGTGTAACAGTGTTAACAAGTTACGTGTTGGTGACATTCTTTTACTTTTCATACACAAATATCTCTTTATGAGTAAATCTTACAAAAACTAAAAGTTCCAGACATTATCTGACTGTTTTAATCCCTGATATATTCCTCTCTAAAAGAAATGAGAATAACAAGTTATTAAACTATTATCATCACAATCAGCTCATACAATTACAAGAAAGTTTCCCGCTTCCTATTATTTTTATTTCCCTGTAACCACACACACACARGTTTGTTTTTATATCCTCGTGGGGACCATGGATTGACTTTCATTCATTTTCTGGTAATTTTATATCCTAACCCTGACCATTTAACTTAAAATTAACCTCACAGGTACCTACCTGACCCTAAAACTAACCTAAACTCAATTCACACCTTGGTCCTAAACCAAACCTCCCAACCTCTAATTTGCATTTGTACCTGTGCACGTTCGGTTCCCATGAGGCTGCCTTTTTCTGGAAAATAGTTCTCACAATGTAGCAAAAACATGCCCCCACACACATATCTTTGCTTCAAACTGAGGACTTTGTGTTGACTTCCATTCATTTTTGTAACAGTATTCATGCCTAACCTAGATATTTTCCCTAAAACTAACCATTACTAGTGTGTTCCTAACCCTAACATGAACCAAAACTTTTTATTTTTAAATGAAATGAATTAAATGAAACTAAAACTAAAAAAAAAAAAAAAAAAAAATTCACACCATACCTCTGAACCTAACTAGTAGAGCACAACAGAGCTGCAAATAAAGTGAGGACTGGGAAGAGCAGAAACAAGTATACACACACGCACGCACGCACGCACGCACGCACACACACACACACACACACACAGTTTAGTTTCAGGACTAAAACATGTGTCTTCAAACTGCTCCTGATCGATTTGTTTCAACTTTGATTCAGAAAAGTCTGAAGAGGCACGCTGCTGCAGGAAATGGTACCAGGCCCACATTTAGCTTCCTGACCTGGATTCCTGCAGCGAAAAAAAAAATGGAATTGGTCCCAAACCTCCAAGTGGAGAACACAGACTACTCAAAAAAGAACAAAATGTGTATTTTCTGTGTGCAGAAACAGGCTGAAGGGTTAAGTGCTTTACGACTGCAGAGAAGCCTCAAAGTTTAAATATTAAAATAAGAACAACCCAAAGTGGACGCTGGTGGAAAACTAGGCCAAGGAATTAAATTACTCACATGATAGAAACACACACTTCGTTTTCAAATTTAAACCAGTAATTGAAAAAAAAAACTGACGAGTTCGGCGAGAGCTGACTGACTAAATTCTGTTCTGTCACATTTCAGCAGTGACGATGCAAACTCACAGACTCACACAAGAACTTTTGGTTTAAATGAATTTTCCACCTCTGTTTATCAGTAATAGAGCACTGCCAGAGTAAAATAATAATAATAAAGACAGTGAGCGTCATCAGTCAGTAAAACAAGAAATAAAACAAAGACAAGAGGCTGAAATAAGAAGAAAACAAGTCAAAAAGCGTCAAACAGACCTACCACTGATCTGGGAGTTCTGAGTATTTTAGAATGAGCGACCAAACAAGCCAAGGTGTCCTCCTCACCCGGACGTTCGACCACATGAGCGTCATAAGCCACCACGATGGACACCTCCTGCATCATCTTGGCTTCTGTTTGCTCCAAGCAGCAGAGAGGAGGGGAGAACCAAGGAGGAGGAGGGAACGTTTGGTTAGAAGAAAAGGAGGAGAGGAGTGCAGCTGAGAAGTGTGGTTCCTGTCTGAAAGTGGAGGCGGCGACTGGCTGCCTTCAAGAGCTCCGCTGAGCCACGCCCACTGAGGAGGAGGAGGAGGAGGAGGAGAGGGAAGCACAGTACACCTGTTTGTTTCTCCCTTTCCCTCTCTGTAACGCTAGACGTGTGTGGCACGGCAGGATGAGTTTGCTTTTTTCTTTCCTTTCTTCCCTCCCTCCTTTCATCGCTCTCTTGCTCTGTCAGGTTGCAGTTTGGTGCTTTTTCCCCTCTGTTTCCTGCTGCTACTAAAAAACTAATGATAAAGACTTGTTTGCACTGTTCCACTCAGTGTGAGTGTGCACGAGGCCATGATGAGTGATAGGAAGGAAGTAGTCAGGTCAACCACAGTGACTTCAGTTACACATCGTTCAAACCGTAAAACCCAGGAAGTGAAGCGCGAAGAAACGCAGAGCTGCCTCAGGAGATGCCTGAACACTAATGTGTCATCCCCAAGGACTTAAGATCTACAAAGCAACCTTTCTTTTTACCCTGCCTGACAACAAATAACTTCTCTTCAAAGAGATGTAATCACAACGTTTAGCTACTGAGGAGTTCATTTCATCGTGTATCCTAAAACCACCAATTTTACACGTTTTAAAAAATTCCTTGGTAGGATTGGGGTTTTCCTATTTTGACTGGTTGTTTAAAGAAAAAAGTATGATTTGTATTTGGAGTTTAATACCAGAGGTGGGACCAAGTCTCAAGTCTAT